TATATATATATATATATATATATATATATATATATATATATTTCTAAATAGCTGTCATCACAGCAGTTTGAATTGATGGGTCTGAAGTATTGTGTATTGTTGCTGTAGGCCATTCTATTCTAACTCACAGTGAAAACTGTACTGCTGAATATACTATGGTCAACGCTGAACATACATTTCAAATAGATTTATACATTCAGTTACAAAACGGAGATACAAATCTACTTAACGGGATTATTCAGTTTTTATATCAAGGTGTCAGAGCTATTGCCACAATGAAGGTATCTGTAGGCTAAGTGGCAGGTTCAGGTGCAGGGTCAACGTCGGGGGTTCTGGTGGCTACACAGCAAAGGTACAAAGCACACAACTTTGACGGTATGGCAGGGAGCGAGGGGGAAGGGGCAGGGGAAACATCTGCAGGGGTGAAACATCTGCAAGGGTGATGAGGAAAGTGGAAACAGGTGAGCAGGAGGGTGGGGAAAAGGTCAGGTGACTGGGACTGAGGGGACGGGGGTTATTGCAGGGCAGGAGGGAGCTGCTGGATGTGGGAGTGAGATGACTGGGACAGGAGAATAAATCTGAGGGCATCTGGTGGTGGAGAAGGCTACTGAAGAAGGCTGGAACACAGTCATTAAATGCGTACTGTAGCTGGAGCAGCAATGTTGGAGGGTTACAGCACACGGCACTAGAAATAAAGAGATGGTGTCCGTACAGGTGCTCTTTGGGTACGCTCGAATGGACGGCGGGCGATAAACAACATGGCCTTTTAGTATTTATTTTTTGTGTGCATCCGATAAAGCTTGCATTACATATTAATATATTACATTTTGCATGCGAGTTGCCTCCAGCTCTTTTTATGTTGCTCAATAATTTGGAAATGTTCTTGATGTGATTTGACCAAATATCTGATACCACTAGTGAAAGTATTTGTGTGTTGCTGCATCTCTCCGGTTAAGTCTCTGCAGCACTACCGCCCAACCCTGAGTGAACTCGACAGCGACTCTGACTGATGTTGGGTGTCTGACCTGCAGTGGGAGTCCACACCGACACGTCTGCCAGTGACACAAAGTTATACGTCCTGTAGTGCTGACGCCTGTCCTTCACAGACAGAGACAGCAAGGAGTCTGAAAGAGACAATGGACAAAGAGGACAGACAAACATTTTATTTATATACATTATATATATTATAGTACACTGAAGGTACTTATTGGTCTTTGTGCAGCTTTCGGGCGTAAGTCCCAGTTTGTTCTATTCATTACAATCACCAAATATCTGCAACTTCTCAAACTCAATAATGTGCTTGCTGTTCTTCTCATATTATTCTTAAATCAATGTCTATTGTTTTTCAATCTGTAGGTCAACCAAAATATAGTTTATAGATATCCCTTTGGGATGGGTTATTAATTTAAATGACCATTAGTTGCAGCCCAAATGCATTTTTATAATTCCTAGTGATTTACTTTGTAGCTTTATAAATAATAATATATATTATATTATATAGGGTTCATGCACTATATAGGGTGCATGTACTGTATATTTTGAGTTTATGGTGTAGGCTACTAATGCTAACAGGGTCGCTAGTTTTAGTCTTTTGTGACACACCTGTGTCCAACCAACTGTTGGGCATGTGGCAGCACACACGTTTCCCTCTTGTTTGGGACAAAGCACACTTTACAGTCAAACTAAAAATCTCCTCGGCTTGGTTGAACAGTCTCACCCTTGGTTTCCTTCCAGTCTCCCTCAGCGGAGTCCAGGTTAACATTGCGGGCCATGGCGGTAACTATTCCAGTGTGGAGACACTGGACAAGTGCGACCGTGCTCGCTCCGAGGGCAGCACCGAGGGCTACCTGGCCCAGCCAATCTCTCCTCCCCCGGGGTGAGGAGGAACCGTTACTCTGGCTGGACTTCGTCGCAAACTTCTCAGCTCGGAGGCCACTTGTAATATGGCCGCGGACAGGACTTGTCGCTGGCTTCCCTCCCAGCTGGAGGCTTCCAGGAGTTAAAATGTGTTTGAACCTGACACCTGCTCCTTGGAAGTCTGCACAGACTCGAGACAGAGAGCCAGTGCGCAGTGGGGCTCTGATATATGAAAAGAGAGCTGATATTTGCAGTGCCATGCCTGAATGACGCTGGGGGGGGGTAACGGTTCGTGTTACTACAGCTTCTCGGGTCTCAGTGTCGGACACACCGTGGTTAGGTTTCGTTTTCGCTACGAACACACGTTAGTGAAGAACGTTAGGTGGTTCCCAGTTCACATGTGCCATTTTTGTTTTGGACGTTCACATGTGGAATGTACCATTTACAAGGGGTGCAAGGTAGCTGTCGCTAGTTCAATAAACTTGTGCCAACAAATGAATAAACGTGACAATAAGCTTTAGTGCGCTGTGCAGGCCTATATTTACGATTCAGTATTATTTCCTGTGAAAAGGCTTCGCTCCAAAGTGACCAATGCTGCTCTATTTTTAAATCAGACACCGACTCAGATAACATGGGAAAGCCGAACGCCACAAGCTTACGCCTACTTCAAGACCGTCGGAAATATGGGAATTATAAGATGATTGCACAATGAGCGCCCAAAGAAGCTATAGTATAGTTTGTTAAAACCTGTTTCTAAGTACAACAAAAAGTAAAGCACGTTTGGGTGTGGGGGCAGACGTTATTATTCAAGGAAGGTCAGATTATTACTTACAGTTATAATTATTTCCCCCCCAAACCAAACCAGTGAGCCAATAATTTGTGATGACATTAAGATATTCTTTACTTTGTATCTAACTCCTTAACATAAACTGATACTAAAATGTTGGACACACCACTCATTGCTGATTTTGCAACACAAAATATGATCACTAATCAATCTTTAGTATGTGTTTAAAAGAGAGGAGAAAGACAAAAAAAGACAGGGGGGGGTATGCATCACTCACACTCCATCTGTCACTCAAAAGCCCTTTTCACATTTCCGCCTGGCGGAAACTGACAAAAAAGGAACAAGCCTTTCTTGACAGAAGTGACACAAGCAGCGCAGAAACAGCTACACAGACCACAACCTGCCCAGCCCGAGAGAGGAGAAACTTCTGCACAGTTTCATAGAAAACCTGGGGAACTTCTTCAGAGATCTGACAGAGGCACAGGGGTCCCCCCAGTTTCCATCTCTCAAAACCTGAAGGTATTGTCGTTCAAAGTTTGTGTGTGGGAGAGTGTTACGTGAGAGGAAGGGAGAGAGATAAGACCATGCAGAGAAAGCGTGTTAAGGCAACATGTGTATGTTTAGGCTTCTAAATTTAAAGATTTGAGATAATTTATTAGCTCACAGCACTAAATAAAATAGAATGCCAGAAGTGAGCTGGCCACAGATCAGAACTGAGATTCAGCAACATTCAGATAAAGAAAGTTTAGGCCTCCAACAGAGGTAAGATGGGTGAAAGCATTCATTACCATTGTCTGTGATACAAGTCTTTGAAAATACAGATACATGGGGCAAAGACTCACATTTTAATCCTTGAATTTAATACATTTCACATGGGTTTACATTTTCACACCCATGCAGTTGATCTCTGTATTGGCATTGGATGAGCATCTCGTCTGGGGCGGGTCAGAAAGCGGAAGTCTGTGTCCCTGGTGATAGTTCAAGTTAGAAACAGGAAGTGCTCATCAAACTGGACATATTACCAGAATCAACTCACCCATCCAGTGTGTGTGTGTCAGTGTTACTCAGTATCATGTGATATTGAACCATGAGTTGAAGTGTTTTTTTCTCACAGTTGATTGGCTAAAGTATGATTGACAGGTCATCTATCCTCTCTTTTTTAATATCTGAAATATTCTGTAAAACTCGAAAGCAGGATTTTTATTATCAAAACTATAAAGTTCTTTCACACATTTTGAGAGTGTATTACAAGTTGCAGCATATGTAACTCAGATTTTCACTTCAGTTTTATACTTCTTAAAATGAATTATAAAGGCATGTTCAGCATTTTATGCACTGATGTGAAATAACTGAGAACACGTTAATATGTAGTAGGACTGAAATCGATTTTCATTATTTAGGCATGGAACGTTATACTGAAATGTGATGGTCTTGTTTTAGAGAGTTTTGAATGTTTCCTCAGACATTATTGTTGTAAGCTATTCAAGTGCATGATTTCTCACTTGTGACATATAGGCCATCTGAATATCTGAACATTTTTCACTAAAGTGTTGGATCTAAAAATGAAAGAGTAACATCACTGATTAATTATAAGTCTTGTTCATCTTCTTCCTGTCCTTGACTGCTTTGTCTGAGCTGTCGAGCACCAAACAAAAAGTAAAAATATGACCTTTGTCACACAATAGATCATTTAAAGAGCATTTGTCGAGCAGCTTTTCACAACAAGTGGTTACCAATTTGACAATGTTACTAGTCTCATTTCTTTGTCTCTCTCCCATGTTTGTCTTACTTTCTTCTCCTTTCTGTCAGACCTTTTTTTCCCAGTATGGCGGCGTGGGACCTTTCAGTCACAGTGGAGGACCTGGGGTCTGACGCGCCACCTGTCACCCTCAGCGTGGCCTCTGACCTCCACGTCGGAGGGGTCATCCTGAAGCTGGTGGAAAAGACACGTAGGTCACTGTCTGTCTCTCTTTGTCTCCATCTCTCTCAGTGTCAGTACACAGACTAAAAATAGTTACATTTGTTTGGACATGTGATAATTCACAAACAGTGTATAGGTAACACTTTAACATGATTTCTTGATCATCATAAGTCATTAAGTAACATAAACACACCTCTGTTTGTCCAAAATATGCTTTCGATTATTTTACTTTTAGTTTGCATATATACATTCTCATACCAAGCAATAATCATCTTCATTATGAGTCTTAACACTGCTAACATCCTGTCCTGTTTTGTCTTTTTGCATACATGTCATACACTCAGTTATTAAACTATATTACGATTTTGAAATGTACAAGACAAACAAATGTACATGATAAAGCTTTTCAAATTAAAATACTGGCGAATAATAATACATTTAACAGATACATTAAATGTTTGTCGACTCAACCAAATGACCATACATCTTTTATTTTGATAGCAGATTTCTTTTGACTCCCAGTTTAATTGCTAGTCGAAATGGTTTACTGTTTAGTCATTTAAATACATTACCAATTGTTGAATGAGCCTTATGCGACATAAAACTGAATTCCAAACAACGAGTTCCATAAACAATAAATATGACCCTGACGTGATTTGAACACGCAACCTTCTGATCTGGAGTCAGACGCGCTACCGTTGCGCCACAGAGTCCGTTACGCAATGTTTAGGTGGATATGGATTAGATCTTATGTCATTGTTACGCAACGATTCATGGGAGGCGGACTACAGTTCGAGGTAACATTATTAACTGTATTATCAACTGATCACCATCTTAACATTTGTCTTTGGTTTCCAGTCACAGCAGCATAGCTAGCTGCTGCACCAGTCTGTCCACTGAGACAGCAGGCTAAACAAGACCACCACAAACTTTTTGTGTATACTACTGTAACGCTGACTTGCTGGATTTTTATGAAATAGGATTAAGGAGTGAAGACGAGCACTTCTCCATGTCATTAACATGTAGGGTTATGCTTACTTTATGGAACCAGCTGGGTCAATTAACAGTACCCTACTTTACGTGAGCAATAGCTAACAGTAAAACAATGGGTGTTTCTCAATGTTTGCAGATTATAACTTCTGTTTAGCAAACTGATCAACCATGCTTAGAGCTAGCAATTCTCGGACTGCGTGCAAGATGACCCGCTCCCCAAGTAAATATAAATGGCTTTTTCTAAGCTAACGAAAACACTACTATTCTTACTTTCAGTTGATTGTACACTGAATAAAACATAGTTGTGAATATTATATTCCATTGCTACCAATTAATCCCCCTAATTGTTACACACTGTTCCTTTATATATTGACTCTGACATGCTTTGAACACGCAATCATCTGATCTGAACTCAGATGTGCTAGTGTTGCCCCTCACACAAGCGGTTGGAGTAAGTAAATTGATAACATTTATTCTAGTTGTCAGTTTACTTTCCATTACAATAATTTAAGTTTACATGTCTGGTGGTTCAGAGGCCACTTTCAAATTCTTTATGTGAAAAAATGTCAAAAAGGGAACAGGACAACTACAGATCATCTCACACATCAGAGTCCAAACGAAAGGATGTTCTGTGTTTCAGTTTGCAGCAATATCTATTTTGTGTCTGTCCTCTATAGAGATACAGCGTGACTGGTCGGACCATGCGATATGGTGGGAACAGAAGCATCGGTGGCTGCTGCGAACAGCCTGGACTCTGGATAAATATGGCATCCATGCAGACGCCCGGCTGGTCTTTATGCACCAACACAAGCCCCTGAAGCTGGGTCTGCCCAACGGCACTACCCTGAGGCTCCAAGCCTGCTTCTCAAGCTCCGTCTTCCAGACCGTGATGGGTGTCTGCAGAATGCTCAGTGAGTCTCAGCCTATTTCTTTCCTTTCTGCTTTCATTTATTGTTTTGTTCATTGTTTATTTATTTCCTTAAATTCTTTGCCTCCTTTGAGTCTTCTTCGATTAATGTCTTCCTTCATCTCCTCTTGTTTTCTTCTTTGTTTCCTTTTTTCCACATTTGGTTTTCTGAACTTGTTAATTTTCCTTGTTTCCTCACTCTTTGCTGTTTCCATTCCTTCCTTCCTTCCTTCCTTCGTGCCTTTATTTGTTTCCTCCATTCCTTCTTTTGTTTCCTTTTCCTTCCCTTTTCTTTGTTCCTTGTTTCGTTTCCTTCGCTCTCCCCACCTTGTTTATTTATATTGTGTGCTCCATTCCTTTCTTCATCCCTTCATTCTTTATTTCTTGACTGGACTTATTTCCTTTATTCGTTCCTTGTGTCTGCACTACAAGGGCTGACTGTGCATGCCCTAGAAAAGTAAAAGTACACCAGTTCTATGTACTGTATTGTGCGTCCTCGGTTCAATTCTCCTTAAGCAGTCTAAAACACGAGCTTTTTTCATGAACAAAGAAAGTTTTGGACACTGACTTGATTTGAGAATGCAAGCTTCTGAAAAATGTGTATTGATTGGAACACTTACTGGAGAGGGCACGTTGATAAAAACATTTTCTAGTAGTCAGTTTAATGGCCAATAGAATTTATGTTTAAATGGCCATTGGTTCAGGAGCTACGACCTCAAGTACTTCAAATGAAAAATACATTTGCTTAAAAGTTCTAGTTAATTAAGAATTTATTAATTAATTTTACTAATTTAATTTACTAATGTTACGAATTATTTTGGTTCAATTATGTTATTGCCGAGTAATTCAGAATTCAAAAAACATTTTCCAGTTCTTCAGGTGATAAAATCTTTTAACTTTGAATAAGAACTTTATCCTGTTTTACCGTCTTTAATCAAAAAGAGAATAGGGAAACTGAATGTTATCTTTGGTGGGGATATGAATACGCACCCTTCTGATCTGGAGTCAGACGTGCTACCATTGCGCCACAAAGTCTGTGAAAACCTATTCTCCAAAAAACTGAAGTCTGGATGTTGGACACTGCGTAATATCAAGTAAAGGTAGACATCAATTCAATATCTGTTTTCGAGATGATATAATACCTAGAATCTGATGAAGAACCTTGCGCCACAGAGTCTGTGAAAGGCAGTTTTCCAAAAAACTGAAGTCTGGATGTTGGACACTGATGAATATCAAGTAAACGTAGACGTCAATTCAATATCCGTTTTCGAGG